AAATTCCCTCTTTCCTTTCTATTTCTAAGCCAATTTCTAATCCACAAGTGGACGTTTCCATAATCCTGTAGCTACCTAATTTAGTTAAGAGTCTCTGGTGGGGTACCTTGCCAAAGGCTTTTTGGAAGTCCAAATATTGAAAAACAACTGGATTGCCCTAATCCACCTGCTTATTGAGGCATGTTGGTGAGGCATGATTTCCCTTTGACAAAGCCGTATTGATTCCTCCCCAAGAAATCATATTAATCCATGTGATGAACAATTCTCTTCCTTTTACCATTGTTTCTACCAGAAGTTAAATTCAGTGACCTATAGTTCCATGCTCACCTCTAGAACCTTTTTTAAATATGGAAGTCATATTGACAATCCTTCAGTCCTCTGGTACCATGGCTATTTTAGTAATAGTTTGCATACTACATTTAGCAGTTTGGCAATTTCCAATTTGAGCTCCTTCAGGATCTTATGGTGAATGGCATCAGGCCCTTGTGATTTGCTACTGTTCAGTTTTTTCATTTTCTCTATGGCCTCATCAAAACTACAGTTTACATAAGCTACACTGATTTGTCCCTTGAGAAGAGTGGATCTGGTGAGGGATTGTCCTTAACATCATCTATGGTGAAGACAGATGCAAAGAATGCATTTAGTTTCCCAGAGATGACACAGTCATCCTTTAGCACCCCTTTTCTACCCTAATAATCTAATGGCCCAACTGATTCCTTGTCAGGTATTTGACTTCTAATGTACTTGAGAATTTTTTATGTCTCTAGCAAGCGTCTCCTCAACTTCTTTATTAGCTTGTCTTATTACAGTTTTACACTTGATTTTTTTTTGGTCAACTATCCATTATTTTTTTTTATTTGCATTATGCATTTGCTCTGTGTCTGTAATATGATGTTCTTAAGCAGTCCCCATACTGTTTGCACATTCTTAACCTCTTTAGGGGCCCCTTTTAACTTCTGTCTAATTAGCCTCCTCATTTTGATGTAGTCTGGCTTTTTAAAGTTAAAGGCTACCGTGGTACATTTTCTTCTCGTCTCCTCTCCTACATTCATGTCAAACCCAACTGCATTGTGGTTGCTATTGCAGACTTTGTCCTCTTTAAATATATGTTATATAAACACAAATTGGCCTACTATGGGCCAAAAGCTAAAACCCTCACTATTATATCACAGATGTCTTCCAAAATAGTCCAGATTATTTATCCAGAAATGCACTGGTATTGATAACAAAGCAGGAGATTGTCAAATATTTTATCTAACTGACTTTTATGTAGTGGTTTAAACAATATTTTTTTTCTCCTTTGTTGCCTTTAATTAAATTGTAAAGTGAGCTTCTCGATGTACCTAACTCCCAAAAGGGGAATTATAGCTAGACAAACTCCTACTGACAATATTGTCAGAAGAGTGATGTGGAGATATTACATTCATGTTAATAATAGGAAAGGAATTCCCAATGCTCAGTTTCAATGTGTATGTCATTCCCTTTTAACTACACTACAGTGAAAGCCAGCAATCAAGACTTCTGCTAGCAGGGAAAGAAAACAATGAGTTGAGTAATTTTGTCCTGATTTTTTTTTTTCAGAGTTGCTAAGGGCACCTAGTTCAAATTCAGGCCAAGAGCAAATAGGGGTGATCAGCACCTTTTAAAATGAAAAATTTAGAGGTCTAAAGATGAATATCCTGGATTAAGATGTGGATATTTTCTAAAGTATCCACAATTTCTGGTTGTCCAGCTTGAGATACCTATGGCTTAAATTCTTGCAATTGTAAACTAAACTCATGTCTGTCTTGTTTGAAAGCCTAATCCATATCCAAAAGTCTGGAGGGTGACAGATAATTTGGATTCGGATTAGGCTTTCAAACAAGACAGACATGAATTTAGTTTACAATTGCAAGAATTTAAGCCATCTGGAGGGCTCTGGTGGTGGAAATCCCAGGGGTCTGCAGGAAGGATGGGGAAGCCCAGCCACAGGTATCTCAAGCTGGACAACCAGAAATTGTGGATATTTTAGAAAATATCCACATCTTGACCAGGTTTGGGCATTTGATTTGGGCTCAGCATTTCTCTAATGTGTTTGGGAGGCTGAGCCATTTCAAATAGGATTCCATGGTGTCAAAAACATTCTGACCTATTATGATCTTTCCAAGTTCTTGGCAACAGAAGAATTGCTTTGCTATTTCCCCATAGTGGAAAAAACAAGTGAAAGCTAACAAGCTAATTGCAAACAAGTTGGCAATTTCTGAGGGGTTTAACAAGAGGGTAACTCAAGTCGAAAAAGGTTAAGAACAACTGATGTAAGCAAAAGTGGTACACTACAAAATAGTAGTTCATTGCAAGAATTGCTATTTGGGGGCATTTTGGACACTTTTGGAATGTTTCAAAGGATTTGTATTTATGGACATCTTGTCCTTTGAGATATATGAAAAGGCATTTTAAATATTTTAATTGTTAAGTACCCATAGAAAGTTCATACACATAGAAAGGCTTTGGTTTGACAAGGTGTTAGATGTGTAACATTAGTGTACCAAATCAACTCTGGTCCATGAAGATGGAGGATTGAGCTAAAAAGGGGGGGAAAGGTTTAAACATGCATTTACTGTTCGCATATCCTGAAACAAGCAAAGACAATTTGGCCTATGCTGCCTTAAATATGTATCAATAATTTAACTAAGGTGGGGCACCCTCCTCAGGTGCCAACTTAGAGAGGGTGCCAAAATGCCTCCGCTCCCCCTCCCACACTCAAGGTGCTGCCCTTCTGTACTCAGCCATACAAGCCAGGCAGCCCTGTGCACCATACTGTGTGGGGGTGCAGCAGGGCTGCTGCAGCTGAAATAAGCTTTCTGCAGACCAGCTGCAGGAACCCCCTATTCAGACTCTTGGAGCTGTCCATGGTGCCCTGGTCACTTACACCCATCCCCAGATACTCTACTGGGCACAGAGTAGACCTGCACTTCCCGTAGCAGAAATCCCCAGAAAGAGTCCCATTCACCTCAATCCCTCCCCTGTTTACACTGTGGGATGCAGGGCTGCCTGGCTTCTATGGCTGCACCTGCTTTAGCAAAGGCTTCTTGGGTGTCGGAGGTACTGATGAGCCAGCTCCTTAGCTGCAACAATGAGACCATGTGGTACCATGGCCACAGGAGCTGTTGTCAGAGCAGAGACAGATGGGGATAGGAAGAATCTCTTCCCCTTTCCTCCCCCACCCCCTCAGCTCCCTAGTGGTTGGCATTCTGCCCAGGACACTGCAGGAGCTAGTTACACCTCTGACTTGGTTGTCCTCCTTTGGCAGGCATAGAGATTCAATCTGGTGCAAGTCTTATTTGAGCCATCATTGCTACTTTATTTTATAGCATATAAGGGCCATAGCCATGGACCAGAATATCATTGTACTAGGCTTTGTACAAACACAGAGAAAAAAGGGTATTGTCCCTTGAATTAAAATTAGAACAAGTTTCTTAGATGCATATTGAAAATTGGGCAATAGATTGGGTTTTTTTGGTGCCACAAAGGAAACGCTTTACTATCCAGTGAAATGAGAAATCTGTAAATTATTCACACACAATTCAGTTTGTGACTAGTTCCATACATCCTTTACTGCATTGATTGAATGGCCTGTTTTTCTATGTAAAATATAGTGTTTTGTTTCAACTATAGCTTCTAGACAATGCTTATACTTTCATTATCTTATTATGCTGCGAATAATTTTGCAGAGGGCTTTGAAAGATGAATCCTGCACAAGAAAGACGTAAAATCATAAGAAGCTTAGATTTTATAATAATAGGGAGGTGGAATGGAACTTTGAACCAGCAAGTGATTCTATAGAATGGTATTAGGCTGATGGATAAAAAGGAAAATTTGTACTGCCTGCTTTTTTTTTTTCCTTCTAAGATATATTTCTAGAGTACATTCACAGATGGCAGGTGATGTTTTTCAAATGAACTTCTGCAGAGTGACACCAAGTGAAGTTGCTATTCTACAAATAAAAATAGCTTAAAATGGAACATTTTCATAAGCTAGGAAGAATAGTGCATTAAATATAAGTGCTGACAAGCTGTATTTTCCAAATCATTTCTTCTTAATTTAAACAAGGCATCTAAATGATTGCATTAAGGATTATTTTAGCAGCTAGTTTCCAGTTTTATTCCATCATTTTATTGTGCAATGTAATAAACATAGGTTACCCAAAGTGTGAATTGGTAAAATTCAGTACATCAATTGCAATTTGCTTTAGCTTAGTCCTGAAAGTAATCCTCTCTTTTTTGTAGCTTAAATAATAGTATTAAATTAACAATAGTGGTGTACTTTAAAAAAAATACATACATCAATAGCAGTACTTTAAAAATTATAGTTTGCAGAAGCTTTTACTTACAGTGCTTGGGGGATGAGTTTATTAGAATAAACTGGATGCCCATACCATCCATTGCAAGTTGCTTAATACTTGGACTGTTGGTTGAATTGCTGACGAGGGGCATAGCATGTTCTCCAAGGTAACTGGTTGATGAATCTGCAGTCTAAATTTATACAATTTGATTAGTTCCACTGGCAGATAATTGGTAATTAGATGGTACACAAAATGTCATTCGCTTCCATGCTTCATCTTTCAATCTTATTTCCCAAATAACATTTCTTGGAATATAAAATCATGGGCTAACATGAAAACAGCTTTATATCCTAAATAATGCCATGGAATGGAGAATTAGGAGTGATTGATATAATTGTTTATGTTAATAGGAACAATTAATTTATTTCTTTTAAAGGAAATGTAATTTAGGTTTATTTTTCACTATAACATTTTAAAGACAGATTGTCTTGCAAGACTAAAGCAAATAATGAAATACTGTCTGTACAATTTGCTATGTTCAATTTTTTATTATTTTTTTTTTTTTTTTATAAAGCTATTTTTTTTCTAAGGTTTTGCTGTGGATTACTCTGACATATGGGGAAAGTCTTATTCAAAGTTCTATAGATATCCATTACCAGTTAGTTATAAGATGAATGACTAGCATTTGCTTATTAGCATAATAGACCAGTGGTGCATGTCCCATTACTTCAAGTAGTGAGGCAGCAGCTTCACTAATTTGGAGATCCACACTAAGCAAAGGAAAAGTTGGTTTCTGACTAATACAGTAGGGATATTTCTAAACTATAGCTTCTGTTCATCAGAGAGATTTTTTTTTTTTTGTTTAATTTGTTTAATGAACCCTGGAGGATTTGTTACTTGAAAAACAATGGTAGATGAGTTTTTCTTTATTTAAAATTGCTGCAGAAGGAAGTTAGTATATGATTGCTAATAGAGGAATTGAAAATGAGAAATAAGCAGGGATATAATGATTATCTGATGTGATAATGATTGTGTATAAACTAGTTGCTGCAACTTTAAGCCAGGTACAAACCTGAAACAAAGTCTAAGTACAGGAATAGCTACCAAGAGTTTCTGAATTCTAGTGCCACTCTGCAATGACTTTAGTGACCTTCAGTAGTAATGCAGTGAGATAATGAGTCCGATTCTCTGCTTCTTTGAATTGCCATTGTGTGTGTGGAAGATCCATGTAAAACATTTCCATATGAGAACTGCAGTATCATATGTCCATTTTGCACAGGTGTAAGTGACCTTATGCTATTTAACACAATGTAAAAGTAGGCTTCACTAAAATTGTGCATCTCATAGAGCTGTTGTGAGTTGAGTAGAGTTGGATATTCAACCAGTCAAATAAAGTTTGGTTAATTGACCAGTCAAATATCAGTCAAAAATTATTAAAAAGTTGCTAATAAGTCCCAATAATACACAGAAATGTTTCCATTAAGAAATGTGTCAAAACACAATATGGGACCCCATCAGATTCGCAAACACACTTCAGGGCCTCAGCCATCCTAGCCTTGCCCCTTTTTAACTCAAACACAAAAACCCAACCTAACATATTTTAATACAAATACAAAACCTTCCAGGTACCTCTTCTTGGCTGGCTTAATATCTGTGTCCAGTCAGCTCTACTGGGAGCTCTTTGTCCTGCAACGGCCAAGGTCAGACTTCCCTCCCTATGGCCAGAGGTGAGGCTTTTGGTCATACAACCCTATCTCCTGCACCCAGGGCCCAGGTTCTGTTCATTCTGTCATTAACTGCCTGCCCGTTTCTGGCCGCTGACTCAGTTCACCTGGGCAGCTACTACCTGTTGCCAGTTTGTTCTCAGGTTTCCTGCAGTCCCACATTCCCTCCCCTTCTCCTATCTTCCTAGTAACAGGGGCAGAGGGTCCCTATTACAGCATCAAACATACCAGTGAAAAACAATTATTGCCATAAAGAGCTTAGACTTGATTCTCCTCTGGCTTGTACTCAGGGCCATCCCAGGGGGGAGGGGGCAAATTGGGGCAACCACCCTGGGCCCTGCACTTTGGGGGGCCCCACAGAGCCAGGTAAAGAGGCCATGGCTGCAGTTTAGCCCACCTGCCTGCCCAGTGGGTTAGACATCTCTGCTTGTTTCCACGCCCCCACCAAGGCTGCTTTGCTCCAGGCCCCACACCTTCCTGGGATCATCTCTGCCTGTACTGGAGTAATTTAGGAGTAATTCCAAATGGATGGAATGAATTTTTTTTACAAACTGAGACAGAGAATTGGAACTACAGCCTAATGCAGCACAAATCACAAAAATCAGCTGTCATAAAGAATCTGAGTTAAAGAATAGGTAGCTTGGAAGGCCAGCCACATGCAAAGCCTATACAATGATTTTCTTCTTCTTTTTTCATTATATTATTGGGAAGCAATAGATAATATTGATGATATCATTAACTCCTGATGGCCACCTATATGGTCATTTTTAGTGAATGTGAAAAAAGTACAAGTGGTAGTATGGCTCATAGGATCATAAGAAAGTAGGGCTTGGAGGGGCCTCACACGTTCATTCAGTCCAGCCCCTTGCTTAAGGCAGGATTGCCCCAGACCAAACCATCCAAGTGTAATTACCAAGGGTTCTTATCTTTTTATCCTCCAGGCCCTGCTGGCCTGAACATGTGACTATTCTGACCTCAAGCTAGCATTAACACAGGTCAACATTTTTGTTGCTCACAATGTAATGTATAACAAGGCTCTTAAGCAAGTCCAGGCATGCATGGCAACAGATATTTAGGCTAGTGACAAAAATTACACATACACTGGTACAAGTGATCAGAAACCAATTCAGATCTGTAATGCAACAGAAGTTCACTGTTCATAAACTGCTTTCAAAATGGTGAAAAACAGTTTAAGGTAAACCTGGAAGGATGTAGTATCAGATTGAACTGATTCAGGCTAAATTATTTATTCAACTTCTGTCCCAAATCCCCTTGAGATTCAAGTCAACTCACAGTTCCCCAGCATCCCAAGATGCTTTACACCTGCCGCACAAACCTTCCATCCCAGGGTGGGCAGACTAGCTTTGGCTAAGCTGTCTGCTCCACCTGAGCAGGAAGGTGTGCTCTAGTGTCTTTCAGCTTTTGATCTGGACTACTGCAGGCATATAGCTGCATTTCTGGAATGAAAAGTAAATGTCTGTTCACTTGCTTATTGGTTCAATCTATACATTTTAGACTAATCTGTGAAGATTGAATTGATTCAGCCTCAGGCTTTTTGACTGTCTGTACTTCGTCTTAGAGCCTATCTACACAGTTGCTGTGCTGTGTCTGGGAATGCTATCATGAAACATGCCCTGAGCACTGGCTTCCCCTCTGCATGTGCTGAATCCTAGAAATGAGACAGTAAGAAAAAATCTATAAGCACACCTGAGGCAAAGTTGAAGGAGAAGCACTAAGTGCATGCTCATGCTGCAGTCAGGCGGCTACTTGGCCTCATTTCTAGCATGTGGCACAGAGTAGGATCAAGCTGAAGATAGTGATGGCCCTGGGAATAGAATCAACCAGACATAGAATGTGGTATAGAGGTGCTGTTTAAGGGACCTTATTGGCAAAAAGTTAGGCTACTAAGGACTTTACAAAAAACCTACATGTTTAACTTCCTGGTTTCTTCTTGTTGTGACCACTGGAGGTAGAGGAACATTAATGAGAACACAGGCTCTGTCATTCAGTGAATGTCCTCAGATATGCCTAACAAGTCTTTTCAGGAATCACTCTCTCTCCTAAAAATCTTACTCCAAGAAGTGAAAGGATATCACAGCTACAGCCCTTTGCCAGCTCTCTCTCTCTCCCCACCCTCTTTGCACAGGGACCAACATGAGCTGCTGTGGAGTTCGTTTGCATACTGTTACTACTGTCATTAGTAGAACAGCCCGGAGCAGTCCTTGCATTCAAAGGAAGATATAGATTGACACAGTGCCAATTGTATGCACAGGGGCTCAAAGGCCAGATACTAGAAGCCCTATTTCCAAACCCTTAATCCGAGTCTTTCAGCAGCAAATGCATTTATGATGTGCTTATTATAAAATGGCTCATATTCTGGTAGAGCAATTCACCATCTGTGAAGTACAGCATTGTTCTGAAGCTACACTGGTTCTGTGTGTGTGTGTGTGATATGAATATATATATCAGCTTCTGTATTGTTTGAAACTGCAATAAGCAGTACATAAGTGTCAGCTACACAACATACTCATGCAAGGAATTATGCTTAAATTTAAAGGCAAATACATTTTTGGCTTTTGATTATCACCATCAGCTAAAAGGTTTCTGTCTTGTGTCACTGTAGTAAATAGTGGTACAGCTACTCAGCTTGATCCTATGGGCATTTAAATGCACTCTGCTATATGTCTTTTAAAAACATCTGTGGGCTCTAGTACATTGTATGCATACCTAAGTAGATGATTTTACAAGATGCTTAGTAAGCAACACCTACGTATTAGACAGAAAAATCAAACCTTAAATTATTTTTTATTTCTTCAAATCATCAGAAACAACCATTAAGACAGTGCTTCACTCATTTGTGTATAGCAGGAAAAGTATCCATGTTACTTTGTTTCATTATTACTATTGATTAGGCTTACTAAAAAAACCCTTTAGAATGCAAAAGCCTCTTTAACAAATTAACATTTTATTAGCAAAAGACAAAGTAGTGCTCTACATAATGTGAGCCACCTGATAAAACAAATCTTTAAATAAAAAATGGTAAAAATGTAGCTGTATATCTGATACCTAAAAGTGCATTTAAATGACAAGATTTTATTTTTTCTTAAAAATAAAATTCACTACTTAAGTCTTTATGCTGACATGATTCACTAGGTTAAATACAGTAATGGCACAGCTCTGTTTAAACTTGTCGAAACACCTATTTTTGATGTCTGGTTACATCTCTTAATAATTACTGAGATTTGGCATTGATTCTTATATAAGCATTGGCTATGAATTATGGTTAGACCAAGCATCTTTGGAAGCTGGAAGCAGGGCAGCTGACAGTTTGAATTTACTGATCCTGTTGTCATTAGTGTATGTGTAGTAGGTGGTGAGGTGGGAAGAGGGTCAGGGCTAAATTCTTCACAAATTGAGACTGCTCACAACTGTAGCAGATTACTCATCCTACACACTTGCATTGACAGTCTTTTAGCAAGAGTGACATCTGCTGGTACCTGTAAGCATACAAGAACAGCTTGGCCTGAATCTCTATCACTGGGGCTGATGGTGCCCTGCTATTTCCAAATCAGCAGTTAGCAGTACAGAGTGCCTGCTAGGAAATCAGCACAATCTAGACAATAATGTCTAGCTATGATCATAGGATAAGTGCGATTTATATGGTGCAAGTATGTCTGTGCATATATGCACAAATATACTTAATTTTGCATAATGTGTATGATACATGCACTTTGTGTGGGTGTACATGTATCAATAAATACAGCAAAACCCATTTTTTCAGCTAGTGTTAAATGGCATAATCTCTTTGGCTTCAAAGATTGGGTCTCTGGAGCTTTTGAAAATCTCACCAATTTTTAAAGTAACGAGATGTGAATTTAGAAGCCGAACTTTAGTCTTTTTTTGTAATAATCTTGGTTCTTGAATAATGTACAATACAGAAATATAAATGTGGTATAAATGTGCTTTCATGGCCTAGTTTTATTAGTTGCTAACTTAAAGATACTCAGTTCTGCAGTTTCATTTCTTAGGTTCAAACAAGAAAAAATATTTCTTTGAGAAATATTTTTCCTACACTATTAAAGAGCACAGTATAATTTATACAACAGAGTTTTATGGCTACACATTCAATTTAAACTTCAGTATTTTCTTGCTTTTCATAGATTTCATAGATTTCATAGACATCAGGGCTGGAAGGGACCTCAGAAGATCATCGAGTCCAGCCCCCCGCCCAAAGGGCAGGAAGTCAGCTGGGGTCATAGGATCCCAGCAAGATAAGCATCCAGTTTCATCTTGAAGGTGTTCAATGAAGGCGCTTGAACCACCTCCGGTGGCAGGCTGTTCCAGACCTTGGGGGCTCGGACAGTAAAGAAATTCTTCCTTATGTCCAGCCTGAAACGATCTTGAAGTAGTTTGTGACCATTCGACCTCGTCATCCCTTGGGGCGCTCTGGTGAACAAACGTTCCCCCAGATGCTGGTGGTCACCCCTGATAAACTTGTAGGTGGCCATCAGATCACCCCTGAGCCTGCGCTGTTTTTGTACAGTCAACCTGAATAGTGGCATTTCTTAACTTTTCAGTGTGACTTCTTCATCCTTAATACATTTCTTTTTGCATTTGGGGAGAGGGACGGTTGATCTATAATCTTCAATGTTAATTAAAAAAAACAAAAACCCAAACCCTATGCATTTTATAGAATGTAATTCTAATGTTCTTCACCTAACTCATCAGTAGCAGCATTTTGAGCCATGGATTTTAAACATTACAATGCAGACCTACACTTTCACTACTTCACGGTTTACTTGTATTGCTAACCGTTGTAACAATCTGCTATTAGGACAGGATGATTTTGCCTCCTTCCTTCTCTTCTGACCTATCCTCCTTGTGTCATTCTGTATGACATTCTAACCATTTTACAACCATTTTACAACAACTATCCCAGTGTTTGGCATGCTGTGAAGCCACAGTTCCTGGAGCTACATGATTACACGAGTTTCTCAGTTTCCAGTTGCTAATAGAATCACAGCCATATCTTCCCAGT